GCCATTCCCCCTTGTCCTGTCGCAACAGGCCCTGCTAAAAAGTCTGCTGCCATCTTCTATTTATCTTCTTATATCATCTTATATTTATCTTCTTGCTCCATCCCCTGAAAGTACTGAAGAAAATTTTCTCTTGAAACTGTATCAGATAATATTCGGATAATTACAACTCAACAAGGAAAGAAAACAGAAGAACTGAAAAAATAATTTCAGGTCCCCAGATCAATACTGTATGTTCAACAGACTTCACAACTGTCAGATGTAGAAATCCAGCTCTTCCTGAATGACTGCCTGTTGACTTCATAAAACAGTGGAACAGAAAAACAAGACCATATATGCTAAAGCACAAGAGAGCACAACACTAACAGCAGAATGCACCAACAGTCCGTCCAGCTGTTATACTTAAGACAGAAAAAGGAAAGCAGTATTGGTCAAGGATACCTTTTTCACCTCTTTGAGACATTTTACAGTTGAGATCACTTCAAGCATTTGCATTGGCTGTTGTTATTGGATAAACAGGTTAGCTCAAAAGTACTCCTTTTTTTCTTGTAATATGTGCATTTTCTTGCTACCACCTAGCTCGCTCTTATTTCAGAACTCCATGCTATAAGACAATGTTCTTTTGTGCCATTGCTCTTCTGTCATCAAAACAGAGCCCCCCGACCTTTATTTTTTTTTAAACACAAATGTATTTATCATTGCTTTGCAATGAATTTGAAAAAATCAATGTTTCTCTCATTTCAAATGAGTTACAAAAGGACTTATAAGGAAACAAAAAGAAAGTACGTCTTTCCAGCACTCTGTTCTACAAAAGAGAAGCATACCTGCAAGTAGTATAGTTTGTTATTTGATTACTTAAATGTTTTTCCTTTACCCCAGACTTGTTGCTGGACTAATTTCATAATTGAGATATTGTAAATATTTCAAAATAACAAAATACTGAGGAATCTCCATCCTTTGTTCAAAAATATTTAATCCAATTGAAACGTTGATTCAAATTCCTGCTATTCCTCTCCAAAGTTTGATGACAGTTAAGATGACCAAAATGTAAGCAAGTCAAGAAGAAATAAAATGTTTTCTTTAATAACTTTACTCATGGTTTACTGAGTTCTGTAAGAGTTTCCCTTGAAATTGCAATAGCGTAACTTGATAAATACATTAGCAAAGAACTGTGCAGGCTTTACTTTTTAATGTCTGGAATTGAGAGACTTTGGTTTTTTTTTTTTAACCCAAACAAAATCCATGTTTTCCATTTTGTTTTCTGATTTTTTCCAAGCTTCACACTATGTGCAAGTTAATGACATTTTTCCAATCATCTCATTTTCAAAATCTGTTTTAAGGTTTGTCAGTACAATGTTTATCAAAGCTCAGAACTCTGCTACTGACAATTGTTCTGTTGAAGACTAATGCCAGTAGTGGAAAAAGGTTATGGCTCAGGTTTTAAAAGCACACTCTCCAATTTAAACAGAAAAGTTTAGCAGAAAAATACACCATTTCAAAGGCAGCTAAAACGAGCATCTGCAAGAAGACAGTACAATTTGCCACCCAACAGTCTGCCCTAAACTATGATCAATGATGACTATTCATCACCTTTGCTATACAAATTTCTTATATTTAGAACAGATTGGGAAATATCAAAAGTATTAAAAATAATTCTTTTGAGGCAAGAGAAGATGAAATTAGAGTTAGCTAGCTTAGAGGTTTCTTCTGTTTGAATTTCACTTTTTTTTTTTTCTGATTCCTTTCTACTTGAAATACCATGAGCCTGCCACTATGTTCCCTAAGTTTTGCTAGAAGCGCTGTCTTGATATTTTTGAGCTCTGCCTCCCCCCGACTCATCCATTCCTCATGGTCAACTTATGTCATGATATATGCTCATGTAATCCTGAATAATAAAAAAATAAAAATAGAAATAATCCGGAAGAAAGATTTATTTTTTCATAGCCTGCAAGTGGCTAGGTTCATATCTCTTTATTATCCAATAATGAAAAGGCCCTTCCGTAAAGCAAACTGGAAAACAGATGCTATGAATTTAACCATGAGAAACATTGCTGAATTCCCTGACATCTATAGGGCTGAAGTTTCAATACTGACTGATATAGAATAAATAGTTATTAAAAACTCTCAGTAAGGTACAGCGTGAATCAAGACACCTAAAAGAAATTTAAGTACGTCTACTTTAAAGCTAAGAGTCCTAATTAGAAAGAGCTTTAAGTTCTGCCTGATCTTCCAAATCCTATTCCTGACACTGGAGCGAGCTAAAACCCTCCTCTCCTGATACTTTCTATATCTATATCTAACATCACAAATAAAGTATTCATGCAACAATCTGCATAGCACTTACTAAAGCCATTCTGAAGGGCATTAACACCCAGCCACACCTTGATCACAGTCAGACAGACCATCACAAATCCATGCAATTCTTGAAGGAGGTTCTGCAGACTGGCCTTATAACCAGCTGGTCATCAGAGATACCGGGGTAACAAGCATTATTCCTCTGAGTGGCTTCCTAACACTTGCCTCCTACAAAAATTGAACTGCACACCTTTTCGTAGATTTGGCACTCCCCCTCTTCTGCTCAGCAATGCGTTTCCTTGTTTTCAGAACAGCATCACGTTTCCATAATATTCCCAGCAGCTTTCTAGATGCTCATCACAACTAACCAGTTTATGAATGAAAACATTTAGATACGTTTAAAATTTATTTCTCTTTCTAACACTCCAGGCCCAATTCTAACCACTTCTAAACCACCTCATGTATTTCATAACTTTCATCTGATTTAGGTGCTTACACTAGAGCAGGAAGAATGCTTGAGTCCACTTAATATTAAATAAGGCTTTCCTCATTGCTCCAGCTCAAGGAATACATGGTTAAAAATATAGTCAAATCATTGTTTATACGAACACCTTCTGTGAAGCTGATATAGCTCGCAAATACTGGATAGGTTTGGTTTCGCAATGGATCCAATACAATTAGTAGGTCATAAGTACTGAATCATCTTACAAGGTGCTATAGACTACTATAGAGAAAGTTGACATGTTTCATGGAAGTTGGTCATGACAAAGTTATCAAATTTCACACTGATAAAGGTCAAGAAGAATTTCTCTTACAGTTCCAGGAATCATTTCTAGAATTTACAACAGTAATAAAAGGAAGATATCGTATTTGCTTTTGTTTAAATTAATTGTGAATTAACTCAAAACTGTCATATTTGTAGATGCACAAATGCTCAGGCCTATCTCTGTGGGCAATATGTGGGAAGCCTCTGCCCAGAAGCTTGATCTGGTACATCCTTACAAGGCACTGAGAGGACACGTGTGAGAACTGGGATAACAAAGAAGTGGGAGTCTAGGAAAACCTGAAGAAATGAAGGCAACAAAGACAGGAAGCCATGAGAGAGTGAGAGAATTATTGCCATGAGGAGTGGGGACAAAAGCAATGCACCTATAGCAAACCATAGGCTTCATTAGTCCCCGCTGCTGTTGAAAATGATGTTTACAGTGAATTTCAAACCCAAGGTTAAGCTTCAAAATCAGAAACAAATTAAATCCATTAAATGAAGACACCAAGGCAGATACATTTTCCACGCTGCAGTGCTATGGACTGTTAGAAGTTCTGTTAGGACTCCTTTACAATCACAATGAACAACGACAGGAAACACACATTTGCAGTAATGGAAAAATCAATCTCTACTAGGTATTTTGTTATCCTGACATCCTTAAGCACTACTTTCATTTTTTATTAGGTATTTTGTTATCCTGACATACTTAAGAACTGAACTTTCATTTTATGATCAAAAAATTATTAGGATTCATAGCAGTGAAAAAAACAAGACCCAGCCTCCAACACCTTGGGGGGGGGAGGGGGGGAGAATCTCGCAATAGCATTACTGCTGCTCTTTATGAAAATGTTATAGCACACTTCATGCATGTCAAATATAATAACAACAGATCACAAAAAAAAAAGTTAAGAGCTTCCACAGTCACAAATATGCACAGAAGTCTTCTGTATCTATACAAGGCTATTATAACACCTTGTTCATTCTAGCAAAAAAAGTAGACAGATTTAAAATTTGAACACTGCATGGCCTCAAGGCCATGGTTCCCCCAGTGGTACGCACAGGCAAAGGTGCTAGAATATTCTGGCCATAGCTCCCTGTGGGTCAAATTTAGTAAATGCAAGAATGCAGAATTTTCATTCAGTTCTCTTGTGCGTAAGCATTATAACACAATCTTTAATTATATTCTCAATCTGTTTTTTTCATTCAAGATCCTTGCTTTTAAACATTTTGCAGAATCGACAGGGCTCACTTAATCAGCAGTTTTTCAAATGTTCAGTTGAACACGGCCATGCAAGTGTGGCCCCAGGAATTTGATTTACTGTAACCTTTGGAACCTCTTGAAGAGGGAGGTTCAGGTTTTTTTTTCTTTCCTTCCGTGCTCATCTGTTCAGTACACACGTCTCACAAAACATTAATCAGCTTAGTTAAGAATGTGCCTGTAAGGTGTGCAATCACTATACTATTTTAAAAGTGGAGCCAAGGAAGACAGATTAGTTTAAAAAGCATTATTAATTTTGAGTCCCTGCACTCTATTACAATTTTAGTGGGTATATAGCAACTCAAAATTAAAAATCTAGTTCCCATGTACTTAATTTTCAGCATAATGTTCAAGACAGACCCTGTGGTGTCAAATCAAGAATACAGATCACAGTTTCTCATACTTTTCTCGTGTACATGGTAGAAATTAATTATTTTCAGCTCCATTTAGTTTGTTGCTTTAATTTATTGAAGGTCCCCTTAAGCAGTTCTGTGGACTCAATGTGGCAGGGGAGGAAAAAGCAGTAGGGAAGAACTTCTCAGTCCAGCACTGCTGCCAAGGAAGTGTTACACGTAACATACTTCCAGAGAAGGAGAAACACTTGTGTGAAAAGTTTGGTTTAAGCAATGTATTTAGCATCACTGAGAAATTCTGTAGCAGAAGCAGGGACAAAATCCAACTCACCATGGTAGGTTCTACTTGCAAAAATCTCCCTTCTATTCTGCATGCCCTATCTCATTTTGGTGAAGTAAATGAGGCAGGCATCCACACCAGTAAACCCACTTTCTCCCTAGAAAAAGGACAGAGAAGTCAGCAAGTAAACGGCAATTTACAGCAGCAGAGAATCAGCTAAACACCACTTATTTAGCAAAGGTATTGTTCAGTTCACTGTCCTTACCAAGGTTATTACTATGGGGATCTTCCATTTAAGTCTCGCAATGGTTTGCACCATGTTATTACAGAATGAACTGTTAAGAAATACAAAAGCAAAGAACTAAGCCCAAAACAGAGCTTCTGCAGTGACAGATCAACTGCTGCAGCAGTTTAACATGGCGATGATATGGATGGGTTTAGGAACTTACTTAGCATCCAAGCTTTAGGAAGCACAGATAAAGATTCGTTTAATGAATAACACTGCATCATCCATCAGCTCTACGTTGCCACAGGCAATAGGCGTGCTGTTAGCTTGTTAATAATTTTAGTTGGTTTCTTTGGTTGGCTACACTTAATTGTTGTCAACGAGAAAACAAATTAAATTCTTGTTTTCTTTGCAAGGCCCTTATGGCTCAGCATTTCAAAACAACTAAATGATAGATGCTAATTTGGGGGGTGGAGGGGATGTTTATAGCTACTTACAGGAATGAGATAAGTAGGCCCCTGTTTCTAATATATTTACCTATTTAGGAAGGCAGGAGGCAACTGTCCAGCTGATTTTACTTCTGATTTTAAAGCTCTGCAGTATCATGTGCCTGTGAGAATGGAGAGAAGACCAGAACATGTTTTACTCAAAAGTGACACTGTAAAGTACTGTTCTGCATGCATTTATCATTCCCACTACACACCCTGACCCTGGAATCTTAATCTGCAGCACTATTATGGAAAACAAATTTCTTCCTTTCTTTCAGCTTTGACCATTCCCAAGATTGTTATAAGCACTTCAGTATCTCACTGTTGAGATCACAATAGCTTTTCCATCAAGAACTTCAGTCAGAGACTAATTCAAATCAGATTAAACAAAAGAAACATTCATTACCAAACAGAGAAACAGAAAGGAAGCTTTCTGGAGGGAAACATTGTCTGACCATTGGCACACATTAACCTAGACATAAGGATTCTAAAAGGTAACTTGATAAACCCAAACGGTATGCCTTAAGATTGAGATTGCTTTGCCATTGCAGAGGTATGTACATCAGATGACAGCTTCTTAGGAATGCAGCCCCCTTACTGTTTGGTTCAGAGAAACAAAGGCAATATACCTCAAAATCCAGTTTAGAGGGCTGGTTTTCCACCAGTTTGACTGTACATTCCATGTCAATGACAGAACTGAGTAAATTATTCCAGCTGATCCAGTATATTTAGTCCCTTGCTACTCATGAAACATTCATCTGCAGATTGAAGTTTACTGATTTTGTTAAAAAAAATTCATATGATTTAAAAAAACAAACAAAAACCCCCAAACACAACAACAACAACAAAGCATTGCAGGTTGATCTAAAGGAATACTCAATATTAATTAAATTAACCATGAAGCATAGACCTGAGTGGTTTAAAGAGCTATATGATAATGTTTTGCTTCCTGACTGGATATGTGAGCATGTTGTAGTTTATCTAGCTTTTTACCTGGTTTATCTGTTAAGAGAGCAAAAACGATCAGCACATACTCTTCTTTTAAAGCCTGTTCAGTGATACTCTGCCCAAATATCACTCTTTCTGACCCTGACTAAAGTCTGCTTCTCTATTAGTCTAAGTACCATTAATCAAAGTCTTAAAACATTATTGTAATATTTTTACTGCTATTATTTTTATACTTGCTTTCTCCCAATTCTTTGAATTTTTTGTTCCTCCTAGTTAAAATATATTTATATTTACTTGTATATTTATGTAAGCAAATCCACATATTTCTTAAATATATTTGTTTTATAAAAAGACAGACTAACAAGCTCTTTTTTCTGTTTTCCTTTTCTACTCTCTCAGCTATATTTTTCCTAGTATATATTGTCGCACAAATTTATTTCAATATAACACACCTTCACTGGTCATTTTTAAAGCTGTAAGACACTGCCTGCTTTTCAGGTTCAGTTTAATTTTCACCTGGTTAGCTCGTGTCAGCCACCTAGAACACTAAGTTCACTTTTCTGTGAAATTCCACTGAAATGGGAAAACAGCTATGGTAACCTGACCGGAAGGAACTAAATATCCTCCGTATTAATACACAGAGTATTTGGAAGTGGTGGTGGTCACAAAAATAACATATTTAAGGTGTGGAAAATGAACATGCAACTCCATGCAGTCGGGAGCTTACATGCACTTTTTTACAAATGTCTACTGAAGTCCATAGGCAAAACTGTACTTACATTTTTGACTAAAGATATCACACCTTTGATTCCCAGCATTATAAGAAACAATCCAAAATGCCAAATTAAGATAGGTTTTTAAGAGATTGCCCAGATACTTTTTTTCACTCTTGCTGAGGTCTTTATTTCAGACTTCTAGATTGAAACATTACCCAACTTCACTTCAATTTCACTGTAGTGTTTCTATTGTTATGTGCAGATTGTACAAGTACACATAATTACGCTAAAATTCTCGTAGCTGAAGAATGGTGCTCAAGATCTTTGAGTTCGTCTGATTCCTTTCCACCAGCAACATTTCTTTCACAACACACATTACAGTCACACACACAAATCATTGAGAACAAGTGGTGCATCAGTAATGCTGTTGGTGGAAACAAAGAGAGTCCAAGCCTGTTGCGCTGTTCTGATGCCCTCACATCCTGCTGAACCGCTTGACACTCACAAAACTCAATTAACACTTCTAGAAACAGCACACATGGAAGAACTACTCACAGTATCACTGTCCATCAAAGTGCCCATTTGTTTCTCTGAAGTGCCATTAAAAACAGCTGGTTTAATTGCAGAAGTTCAAAAATAGCCAGAACAAAGCTCTCTCTGGATAGCAAAAATGTGAAGTAAAAAAAGGAATACATAAGAGACTGCAGAAAAGAGTATCTCCTGGTTTCTTTGCCTCCTGCTAAAACCATCCCTGGACACTTGCATGCGTCCACTGGATAATAAAACAGACGTTAGGAGAATGAGAGGAAGTATACCGGTCTCATCTTAATTGGGTGAAATTCACGCAACAGCACAAGCGATGGTCAAGGAGACACAAAACTTGTCTTTCAATGCAGAGGCCATAGTAAAAGCCATAGCTACCTATGACTCTGAACTTCAGATTTAAATGAAATTCTAATTGCCAATACAAGCAATTAATTTGCCCTCAGTATTCAATTCTATATACAGTTATTTGATGAGTCTGTCAAAATGATTCATACATAATGCAAGAAAAACAAATGACACTAGATTCAAACTGAAACAATCACAAGAAAGTTTTTATGGAAAGAACACCAAACATTTCCAGTAAGTTCCTACAACGGTAATTAATGCTTTCAAAATTCAATCTGTGTCTTGTTTATGGCATAACCAAAATGTGACAATCTCTCACTAATGATTCATGAAGGTTTTGGTGCAGTAAAACCTTGATATGATTACACTCTAATAAGTACTGTATGTTCTCACATTTGATTATGTGATACATATTATCAATATATTGATTATATTACTGTTTAAGCTCAGATTTATAATTCTATCTCTGAAAAAAATACAGAATACATATTATCAATATATTGATTATATGACTGTTTAAGCTCAGATTTATAATTCTATCTCTGAAAATAAAATACAGACACTTCCAGTCATGCAGATGATAGTTACATGTGTTTTTTCCTTAGCCCAAAGAAACATACATACTGAAGATTTCCAACTTCAAAATGCAAACAAGGACCTTTGTGAACAATTTTATTCTGATCAGTTCCATCATGAAAGGCTGTAACGGGTCAGTACAGGTATACTGGAAGTGCCCATGTTTGAGGTTTATGGCAGACCTCAGGTTTTGTCACGATTAGGTACTAAAGTAGTTTTTGCAAAAGCTATTGTATTCGAACACTGACAGAAAAACTATCACCAAGATCTTGGAAAGTTTTCTGCACGTTCCCTTTAGCTCTCAGTAGCGTGTGTCACTTTGGGGCAGCAGTCTTTTTGTCCAGAGCTCTAATTTAAGACATGAAAAACCTCTTGGTTATGTTTATTGCTGCTGACTTTTAGCATCTGTAGTAACAGCATGAAGTCACAGAAAATACAGTAATTGTTTGACTGGTCAAAAGCGAAAGACACCTTTTTACAATGGAAAATTCTCTTTTTAATTAAAGACCTTAGATACAGCACATACTTCTTTATCACATAAAGCACAGACGCTTTTCCAGGCCCATGCTAGAAAGCTACCAAGTCTAAACTCTCAAGTTTATCAGTTATCTACATCCATCTTCTGAAATAAAATAGCTAAAATCTGAACTGAACAAACAATGGATCTTATCCCCAATCTCCACAGATCTGCTTTACACTATTTTCCCAGCAAAACCAGTCTGTACTGACTCAAAGATGATGCCAAAAGCTAGTAGCTTTAAAAGGTAGATTCCTCTTCCTTCTCTGAGGTACTGGTTTGGGCCACTTGGTGCCATTTGCTCCTTTTCATTTGCTCTGATACTCGTCTAAGTGGTCTGTGGGCCGCTTCGACTCACTCAGCCAACAAAAAAAACCCTGCTTCTTTTTACGTCTGGAAGAATTTTGTGCTGGATTGAATCTGCTCACAGAAGGGTCTGCAAAAACACCATAGCCAGTACAAAGTAGGCAACGTGAAGCAAGTGGGGTAAAGAATCTCTTTTCTTCAGTGCCAGTGACCTTTCAGATTAGCTCTCCTCTTTTGTAGATCCACAGCTTCAGTGTACTGCAATTCAGCGAGTTACAGGTCGGCCCGCTGCAATTGTGCTGAGGGAAGGGCTGAAGTCTGCTCCACAGTGCTGGCGCCCTGCTGGCCCTGGGGAGCAGACAGGTACCTTCTGATGTGGTGACAGCTGGAAAATCAGTTTTAAACCAGACTTCAACAGTATAAAAGTAAGCTGGGTTGGAGCTTAGGTCTGAGGGCTTTTGCTGCACGTTGTACACAGCTTGTGTTTCAAAGAAATTTCCAAATACATGTCTGCACATTTCTTAGCAATCTCACAAATAAAAATATGTGGAAATAACACCAATCCTACCTGTCCTAGAAAACTGGGGCAACAAAAGTGGATTGGAACATCTTCTTTTTCTTCAATAGCCAAGGAACATTTTACCAAGAGTAAGAAAGACTAAAATTATTTGACTGTCTAGATACACACCATTAAATTAATCTGACTCTTCTGTGCTGTCAGAAATGCAGCCAGCTACTCTTCTTAAGTCTCTGTAAACAGGACTGAGAAATACAAGATCATAAAACTTGTTTTTATCTCCCCAATACTGTGAACACCTACACTTTATTGTAGGTATTCATTTTTTTAAAATGCCATCAAATAAGTAGCTCTTTTTTTCCTAGCCATTGAAAGCTCAAAACTCTCAGTTAAATGGGTTCTAAGGGGTTTTTTGCAAGTTAAAAATGGTACGGATCTAAATTGAACTCCAGAAGTAGATCTTGACTACATAACTATCTATACACTTGCACTAAAACATCTTAAGAAATAGGAACCAGAGGAACTCCAATACTGGGAAAATACCTTGGAAAAAAGGGTTACATTTTATACTTAAAAGTGCTTAGCCTGATAAACTCATACCACTTCTGTTTAACTTTATGAAGAAAATGTTTTTGATTTTGGTTTTAAAATACAAAGTTGTCTGAT